TTTAGCATAATGTATATGTGAATATAAATATACATATTTTAGTACATACATACATACATACACACAGAAACATAAGGAATGCTTACACTGTAAGTTTGAAACTTTTCAGTAAATAGCAGTATAGCATCCTGAAAGTTGTCTTTTTAAGTGCAATGATAATTTTCCAAACTTCTTCCTTTTATATCTGATTTAATAACTTTAAATTCTTATCTTTCTCTCATAAAATACTCCTTAATTTATGTGTCTGTCACTTCTTTTCTGAGAGAATGTGAGCTGATTGTAGTTTTCTAGTGACAATTCTTCTGGCATCCTTGTGCCCATCTGTGAGAAATCTCTTTGTGTTTTATATTTTTTAACTCCACTAGGAAAATATCTGTGATGGTACTGTCAACTAGAATGACTGAGAGGTGGATTTTGGGCCTGTCTATGAGGGAATTAGCTTTATTATGTTAATTAAAGTGAGAAGCCCCATCTACTGAAGGTGTGCCATTTCCTTGGCAGAGGATGCTGGAGTATGTAAAGAGGAGAAAGCCAGCCAAGCATGTCTGCCTGCATTCACTGCTCTCCCCTGACAGTAGACATAATGGATTATAACTTGGAACTATGAGTTAAATAGATCCTTTCTCCCTAGAGTTTCTTTCATCAGAGTGTTTTATCACAGCAACTAAGCTAAGCCCTCTACCAGTGATGTTATTGCTTTCTCCTCTTATCAGCCCTGTATGAGAGTCCTCATTTACATACTTCTCTATCAGGTCTTAGAATTGTTATGCTGCTGTGGTTTTGTCAAGCTGACGGATATGCATTGTTATCTTTTTGTCTTTGACAATATTGGAAATCGAACCCAGGGCAGGGCCTTGTGCATACTAGACAAGTGCTCTACTCCTGAGCTATAATGTCAGCACTGCAAAAATCCTGTCACTCTTTAAATTTGGAATACTAATGGAATTAAGCATTCTTCAGTAGATGTTGGTCATTTTGCCTCTTCTATTTGCTTTGTTCATTTTTGGTGTGTTTTTTTCGTTGAATTACAGACGTTTGTGAAGTTCTGTCCACTGCTTCTATGGCATCACACACAGGTTCTTCGTGGCTCACCACTTCACAATTCTTTTCTCTGGGTATATGTATTTATCTGGGGCACATGTGATTGAACCCAAGCTCTCCACACTTTGACCCATACTACTACTACTGCTGCTGCTGCTGCTGCTGCTGCTGCTGCTGCTGCTGCTGCTGCTGCTGCTGCTGCTGCTGCTGCTGCTGCTGCTGCTGCTGCTGCTGCTGCTGCTGCTGCTGCTGCTGCTGCTGCTGCTGCTGCTGCTGCTGCTGCTGCTGCTGCTGCTGCTGCTGCTGCTGCTGCTGCTGCTGCTGCTGCTGCTGCTGCTGCT